GAACCAAAGGCTAGATTTTAATGTAACTCAGTTGAAAAGAGAGAAGAATAAGATGAGACTTTTTCCTCATCAATTTTGAGTTTAAAAAATACAGGAAAGCACTACCTCAATAAAATTACACCACTCAGTGATATTTTCAGTGCATAGCTATAGAAAAATGGGTATCACCAAAAAACTGGGCTATTTGGAGAAAGAGGTATGTATATTTATTCATAACTTCTAGACATTGTTTCATCTTGCATTTCACTATATTTATTATCAAAATGGCAATACTTTCACTCTTCTTGAGAAGGGAGAGAGGAATTCATCTGATCAAATAGAACCAAATATTAGAAAACCATGTCTAATGATTCAAGTAAAATAATGTATCTAAATATTTCTGAAAACACAGATAAGTATGTTAGAAGCTGAATTATTTCTCAAGTTTCTGGAAGTCTAATTTATAATATCAATTCCAATCTTCCACTTTCCTCACACTTCATTATTATTTCTCCTACACAAAACTTTTTCTCTGGGTAGAAACATTCATTAAGACACAGGCTCTCAAAGTTAATTGAGGACCTCAGTAGTCATGGCTGGTCAGCAATTAAATGAGAAGCGACTGAAATCTGGCCAGGTCTGGCTTGAATTAGAACAAAGGCCTGTTATTGATAACAAGGGTGGGAGCCTGTTTTGCATCCAAGGTAGAGAGCCGTGTTCTGTGTCTTAAGGCATGGCTGTGGGTAGAGTTAGGAAAGTCCCTTTCCTGAGGAGAACACAGGCCCTACAGAGCCTGTTTTAAAGATCCATTAGTTCCCAAGACCGATATGCTTGTAAGTGTGGGCAAGTAGTAAATGCCCCTCTCTCCTGCGGGAGTCCATGAAGAACACTCCTGAAGTGTTTAATTTAGAGTTACACATCTGGAAGTTTTTGTTCAGAGCATGAATTAATAATGTACATATAATAAGCCAGACACACTGAATGAAATCAGGCAACAGCTGATTAGTAACACATCAAGTAGACCACACACTCTTAATTTTACTGAAGGGCTCCTTCCTGACAAACCCACCACTGCACATACTCTTCTAACTCTCAGGAGGTGGAGACGTGCTGGTACAAGAATTCTTGGATGTGTTTCCTCACTGACTGAACATATACACTACCCAGGTCTGAATCTGAAGAAATAGTTTACACAATCATCAAAAGAAATCTTGCAATATCTGGCAAATGTACTACATGGATGTTATGGTGCATATTTCAATGGAAAAATGACTTTTTAATTCAGATGAATCACCAGGATTCCTGGAACCCCAGAACACAAGGGTAATAACAATTTAAGTCTCTATTTCTAGGTAGACTTTTGCTACTTTGGAAAATACCCTGGAAAATTTTTATTTGGTCAGAAATATCATAGTTTCATTCAGGATTAGAAATAGCTTTTTTTTTTTTTCATTATTTGCTCATTTGAAAAGAATCTACCTGGATATGATAAAGCACAGCAGGATGATATCCAGTAAGAGACAGATAATGCAATACTGGTATCCTCTTGTCTTCATTTTTTTTTTTTTAATGAACAAAAACAGTAACTGAATGAATCATTTGTGGGGGAGATTTTTCTAGGAAAGTATTCAAGCAAGAGTTCCTTTTAATACAATGCTTGTGTAATTAAATGTGAGTCAGCAAACGTTATGAAAGTAATAGCAGTTTATGGCAAATTATTATTTAGAAAATATGCACCCTTAATAACAAGTTAAACTGAATATTATCTAACTTTCATAAAAACGAAAGGATGCAAAAAGTGAGGACATAAAACAGTCAAACACAGGGAAAACTTTTGGAATGAGCAACTTATTTCCTAATAATTTCTGAATATTAGGAATAACCAAAAAGACTGGACTAGAAGTATTTAATTTCACCAAAAATAAATTTTCTGCAGAGCCCCTTAACCTCAAAGCAATAATGGCAAATGTTTCCTGAAAGACATTTAAAGATAATTTTAGGGGTGCCTGGGTGGCTCAGTCATTAAGCGTCTCCCTTTGGCTCAGGTCATGATCCCAGGGTCCTGGGATCGAGCCCTGCATTGGGCTCCCTGCTCTGCGGGAAGCCTGCTTCTCCCTCTCCCACCCCCCCGCTTGTGTTCCTGCTCTCGCTGTGTCTCTCTCTGTCAAATAAATAAATAAAATCTTAAAAAAATAAGATAAAAATAATTTTAAAACTTTAGTAAAGTTCTTAAATTTTAAAAATTCCATAAGACCTTACTTTAAAAAAACTATCATCAATTATATCCTGTGATTGCAAAGGACACCATTGTCTTAAATTCGGCTTCATTTTCTACTTTGACTTCAGCTCCTTTACTTCAGGAAAAAAACATTCTCCACAGTCATTTGCTAGGGTATTATGTTTAATCTGGCCATACTGATTAATTTTTAGCAGTCTATCTGTAGTAAGAAAATTAGTGAAAATATGTCTTTTCTCTGTCAAAATAGCAGGGTGGGAAAAGATGCCAAAAGCACACATAAAACTGAAAATATTAAGAGGATTAATCATATTAACAGAGGATTAATCATATACAAAGATTCTAAGCAACCAATAAGCAACTCAACAGAAAAAAAGGCAATTCACCACAGGGGAAATACAAATGGCCAATAAATATATGAAAAGCTGTTTATCTTCCAATAAAGAAATAATATTTAGGCATAGAAATTTTTCACCTGTCAAATTAGTAAAAAAACAAAACAAAACAAAACAAAAAAACCTTTTTAAAATACTGATAAAATCTATTGTCAGGACGAATATAAGGCAACAGAAACTTTCATACACTGTAGTTCACAGAGTTATAAATTTAAACTTTTACAACTATTTGAAGAGCTGTTTGGAAAAAAATTGTATATATTCTTCAGTCCATTTGGCTTCTAAGAAGATAACCTACTAAATACATTCAACAAATGCTGACCAAGAAACCTACTAACACTTTTACAGATGAACAACAAAAACACAAGTATGCTTATTTCAGCTATGTTTAAAATAAAAGAATGAAAACAACTGAATCAATAGGAGAGATTAAGAAAATTAATATATATCATTGCAATATAACCCCAGGAAGTTTTTACAAAGACATATATACTATATCTATTTGTTTGCACATTGGCCATTTATGCAAGCTCCATAAGGGCAGAGAATTTATGTAATTTTGTATGCTTCCTCACTCCAGAGTTATAAACCTAAAAGTGTTAATTGACTAGCACAGGAATGTGGAACCGAGGGGTGGTTTCTATAAGAATTCTGCAACTTACACTACTGTCATGAATATACTGGTCAAATTTTATGCATCATTTTCTTCCAATACAAGTATAAAAAACAAAAGTCTACTATCTTTTCAACAAATTGGATATAAGAAAGTTCAAGAACAACAGCTTGTGCCAAAAATGCATCTTATTTGCATCAGGAGTCATCCTGTGAAGGCCTGTGAAGGCCTTTAGAGGTTGTATAACTTTCACAGAAAAGTTGGGCGCCTGGGTGGCTCAGTTGGTTGAGCAACTGCCTTCGGCTCAGGTCATGATCCTGGAGTCTTGGAATCGAGTCCCACATCGGGCTCCCTGCTCGGCGGGGAGTCTGCTTCTCCCTCTGACCCTCTTCCCTCTCGTGCTCTCTATCTCTCATTCTCTCTCTCTCAAATAAATAAATAAAATCTTAAAAAAAAAACTTTCACAGAAAAGCAAATGATCTCCCTCAGTCCCTTAGATACTCTGTTCCTGATTACAATGTAGGAGAAGGAAGTGAAAAATGCTTCTCATTCTCCTTTGGCTTCATTCCGAAAGGACAATCTGAAGGGAAAGATACTAATTCCCATTTCAAATTATGTCTGGAAGGCATTGTAAATTACAAAATTTAAATTTGCAAGAATATAAAAAAAATTACATTTACCTAGCTTTCACCCTGGACTTTTCTAAGTAGGGCACATTTTGAACTAGGATGATTTTTCCAAACATAGAAATTTACTATTATTGAAGTAGATTTCTTCACTTTATATCCTATGAATCAAGATATCTTGACTTCTCAATTTTATTTAACCTAGAACACGTTCTGGTTGTGTTTTCATTAGCTTCCTTTGTTAGAGTTACTTTAACAAGACCATCTAAGAATGGACACTAATAATGGTATTTGAAATTTAGTCTCATGAAGAAAAATAATATGTCAATTCTCAATTTGCCAGAAGTACAAAAATAAGGAAAACTAGAGATTAACAAGCCAACTGGTCAAAACAAGTTATCATTATAAAAGCATCATTGTATACTCTGCTTTACCACTTGATCTAAATGCCTTTCCTCTTATTCCAGGCTATCAATTGCTTAACATAAATAAAAGGCCAGTTTTGGAGGGGGGCTTAATTAAAACCCTTAGGAAGGAAATTTGTGAATTTTGTAAATATAATTTCTTCTTGGACTGAGACCTTGATATATCCACTTGCATACCATCCTTTTAAAAATAATTAAATAGATTGTGATAATACATTAAGGATTAAAAAAAGCTTCTTTCTTAAAAAAAAGTTATATTCATCTTCAGGCAGTCCTTGCTGTATGCCAACCAAAACCTGTGTGTGTGTGTGTGTGTGTGTGTGTGTGTGTGTGTGTGTGTGTGT